ACACACACACACACACACACACTTAAATTAGCCGGGCGTGGTGGCTTGCGCCTGTCGTCCCAGCTACTCAGGAAGCTGAGGCGGGCGGATTCCTCGAGCCCAAAATTTGGAGGTTGCAAGAGCAGCGATCGCGCCACTGCACTCCAGCGTGGGCGACAGAGTGAGACCTTGTCTGAAAAATAAAATAAAATAAAATAAAATAATAAAGTAAATAAAAATATTGAGCAGGGTGAGGTAAGGGGGTATTAGAACTCTATTCTGTCCGACAGATTTTTCTTAACACGCAAGTGCGCCGCCCGCCCGCTCTGATCCAGAACCAGAGAATCGGCCGTGCGAAGGCGCTCCCGGAGACCCCGCCCAGCCAGTGCCTGGAATTCCACCATCAGCGCTTTATTCTGAGGTACAGTGCTGTCCTGGGTTAACCTGAAAGCAATCTCCGATGCTCCCCTTTCTGGCTTTCGGGGAGGCAGAGACTGACCGGACACTTGTCTCTGCAGGTGCAGACCTGGGCCAAAGAGAGAGAGAGAGAGAGAGAGAGAGAGAGAGAGAGAGAGAGAGCCAAGGAAGTCCACAGTGGAGAGAGGGCTGTGCTGGGGGTTCCAGCAAGACTTCCCGGAGAAGGGGATCTTGGAGCTAGGCCTTGAGAATGAGTTTGTCAAATGAGGAAGGGCATCCGAAGCCAAGGGAACGGCAGGAGGGAACGCTAGGGAGGGGAGAGAATCTGGAGAGTTCCGGTAAAAGCAAGTAGGACTCTTTCCAGAAGTTTGGGCAAGATTTTCCCTGGGCCAGGGCGTGGGTTCTGCAGTACTAATCCCTCCCGGTCACTGAGATGCTCTGCGTTTCCAGTCTGAACCTGAACGTAAAGAGGTGTAGTCCCTCCTTTCTTGAACTGAAAAACTGAGCGCACATCGGTCCCTGCCACGCCTAAGGCTGCGGAGTGATCAGATGGAAAATGCGGCACTCAAAACCTCCCCTCGCTGTAATTTGCACTGCCCTGTGCCAAGCTCGCGCTGTCCTTTCTTCCATTCCTTATTCCTATTGTCAGTCTCGCTGCGCTAGGACCCTAAAAATTCGGTCTCATGTTGCCCGGGGAACAACATTTCGCTACACCCACCTCCATAGAACCCCCGCCTCCCTCTCTACCTTGCACCAGCCAATGGAAGCGAAGATCTTCAGGCGGTGGGCGGGACGTATCCTAAGGTACCCAATGATGGTCGAGAATAGTTGAGCACTTTACTAGCCACGCCACGGAGTGGACGGGGCCTCCTGCCCAGACTTGAAGCTACACAGGCAGGTCTGGCAGGGAGTTCTCAGGTTGTAAATCCATGTGGCGGGGGCTTTGGACCCTGGCGGCCCAAGCGGCACGTGGGCCTCGCAGGTGGGGCTACAAGGGAAGGGGTGTGACAGCTTGGGGTGCTACTTGGACCTCAGACCCACTCCCAGGGTTTTAGTGGCCCAATTCCCTGCGGCAGAGCAATCATTCGCGTTCTTCCGTGCCTAAATCGTCCATTCGCCTTGCCGCAGAGCCCACATCTGGGTCTCCTTCTGGCCTCACAGTCCCTAATCCGGTCACCCTTCGGCCTTCAGAACATCCAATTTATGCATCCCCCAGCCGCAGAACCCCCCGCAACTGGGGCATCTCGCGATCATCAAGCCCTTGGTTTGCTTGACACTGAGACTGAGTCTCCTAGATGCGCTGATTCGCCTCCCCTCCGGTTCCAGACTGTGCACGCGCCGGAGCAGCGGCGCAGCAGCCCCCGGCTCCGGCGCCACCATCTTCGCGCTAAGCTCTGGCCAAGGCCGCTGCGGCATCGCGGTGATCCGGACCAGCGGCCCCTCCAGCGGCCACGCCCTCCGGATTCTCACGGCAGCCCGAGACCTGCCCCCTGCTCGCCACGCCAGCCTGCGCCTCCTCAGCGACCCCCGCTCCGGGGAACCTCTGGACCGCGCACTGGTCCTCTGGTTCCCAGGTGAGGGTCCCCAGATTCCGAGCCTCCTGTAGGCCCCATGACTCAGTTTCCCCCTTCTAAGAGTTTGCACTGGCTGTGCTGTCCTCCTGACTGTCAGCTCTCTGCCACATTAGGTCCCCGGAGTTTCACCGGTGAGGACTGCGTGGAGTTCCACGTGCACGGAGGCCCGGCAGTGGTGAGCGGCGTCCTGCAGGCCTTGGGTGAGTTGCAGCCTTGGGTGAGATGCTTGGTCCTCCCGATGGGCCTGGGTGGGGACCAGGGGGCGTCAGACTGGGACCTTCCTGCAGGCAGCGTGCCAGGGCTTCGACCTGCGGAGGCAGGCGAGTTCACCAGGCGGGCGTTTGCCAATGGGAAGCTGAACCTGACCGAAGTGGAGGGGCTGGCGGACCTTATCCACGCAGAAACCGAGGCACAGCGGCGGCAGGCCCTCAGGCAGCTGGACGGGGAGCTGGGCCACCTCTGCCGTGGCTGGGCCGAGACCCTCACCAAAGCAAGTTCCCCATTTGTCCATTCTCTCTCTCAGAGACCCCATCTGTGCAACCCTTGCATGAGACCCCCCCTCAATCCCTCATCCATTCCCTGCGTGAAATCTTCCGGCCTATGAGCCGCCAATCTGGCCCCTGAAGTCGGGCTGGATAAATTGGGTGTGGGAAGGTGGGTTTCTGGGTGCACACACCACCTCTGGTCTCCCTGTCCCGCCAGGCTTTGGCCCACGTGGAGGCCTATATCGATTTTGGCGAGGATGACAACCTGGAGGAGGGGGTCCTGGAGCAAGGTGGGTCTACCTAGTGGTGGGGGAGGAAGACACCTCTATCAGCCCTCAAAGGCTCCCCTCACTGTCTCTCTTTACCTGCCTTCTCTCACCCACAGCGGACATCGAAGTACGGGCACTGGAGGTGGCCCTGGGTGCACATCTACGAGATGCCAGGCGCGGGCAGAGACTCCGCTCAGGGGCACACGTAGTGGTCACTGGACCCCCCAATGCCGGCAAGAGCAGCCTAGTGAACCTGCTCAGTGAGTGGGAGGGGGAGGGGGCGGGGCCTAGTGCCAGGGGTGGGGTCAGGAGCTGGGTAATTGAATTGTTCTGGTCTAAAGCGCCCTCCAGACACGGGGTAGAACGTGGGGAAGGAGCTCCCTTGTCTCCACCCTCTCCTCTTCTTTTGACCCTCCCCCAGGTCGGAAACCTGTGTCCATCGTGTCCCCCGAGCCAGGGACCACCCGTGACGTCCTGGAGACCCCCGTCGACCTGGCCGGATTTCCTGTGCTGCTGAGCGACACGGCTGGGTTGCGGGAGGGCGTGGGGCCGGTGGAGCAGGAGGGCGTTCGGCGCGCCCGGGAGAGGTGGGCGGACAGGATGGTGATGGGAGGGGAACGCGGGGCCCTTTCTCTGCCTTTTCTCCCTGCTGCGTTTATTTTTCATTCTTCCTGAATCTCAGAGAACTTGCTATGCCCTTTCAAACAGGGATCTCAGTGATTTGGTTCTTTTTTTTTTTTTTTTTTTTTCCGAGACCGAGTCTTGCTCTGTTGCCCAGGCTGGAGTGCAGTGATGCGATCTCAGCTCACTGCAAGCTCTGTCTTCCGGGTTCAAGCAATTCTCCAGCCTCCCAAGTAGCTGGGATTACAGGCGGGAGCGACCACGCCCAGCTGTTTTTTTGTATTTTTAGTAGAGATGGGGTTTCACTATGTTGGCCAAGTTGGTCTCTAACTCCTGAGCTTCAGGTGACCCACCTGCCTTGGCCTCCCAAAGTGTTGGGATTACAGGCATAAACCACCGCACCTGGCCTGTTCTTGTTGTTGTTGTTTTTTGAGACGGAATTTCGCTCTTGTTGCCCAGGCTGGAGTGTGCAGTTCTTCTGCCTCGGCCTCCCGAGTAGCTGGGATTAGAGGCGCCCACCACAATGCCAGGCTAATTTTTTGTGTATTTAGTAGAGACGGGGTTTCACCATGTTGGCCAGGCTGGTCTCGAACTCCTGACCTCAGGTGACCCACCTGCCTTGGCCTCCCAAAGTGCTGGGATTACAGGCGTTAGCCACTGTGCCCGGCCAGTAATTTGGTTCTGATTAAATCCTGCCCCCGGCCCTGCGGACATGTTTCTCATCCCTAAGCGCTCCGCCCAGCCCTCACGTTCTGCCCCGACCCCTCGTGCTCTGTCCCGCCCTGGCGCTCCGCTCTGCTGGTCGTGGTCTACCCCACACCCTGTGCTCTGCCCACCCCCTACATTCTGCCCCGCCCCTCGTGCTCTGCCTAGTCCCCTGTGGTGTGTCTGGCCCTTCTTGCTCTGCCTTGCCACTCATGGTCGCCCCACTCCAGTGCTATACCCGGCCCCTTTTGCTCAGCCCCAACCCCTGTGCTGTGCCCTGCCCCTCTTGCTCTGCTCTTCCCTCTGCACTGTGCTCCGCCTCTCTTGCTCTGCCCCGCCCCCTGTGCTGTGCCCCGCCCCTCTTGCTCTGCTCCACCCCCTGCAGTGTACCCAGCCCCTCCTGCTCTGCCCTGCCCCCTGCACTGTGTCCCACCCCTCTTGCTCTGCCCTTACCCCCTGTGCTGTGCCCCACCCCTCCTGCACCGTGCCCCGCTCCTCTTGCTCTGCCCTGCCCCCTGCACTATGTCCCACCCCTCCTGCTCTGTCCCAGCCCTTGCTCTACCCCGCCCCCTGCACCGTGTCCCGCTCCTCTTGCTCTGCCCTGCCCCTTGCACTGTGCCTCGCCCCTCTTGCTCTGTCCCACCTTCTGTGCTCGGCTTGAACCCCCAATACTCTGCCAGTCCCCTGGTACTCTACTCCTACCCTCCCCACCTCAAGCTTTACAGCTCCCTCCGTGCTCTGCCTGGCCCTTCTCACTGTCCCTCTACCCAGTGCCTTCTTCAGTTGCTCAACTGGACTCCCTCTCAGTTGACCTTGCTCCCCCAGGCTGGAGCAGGCGGACCTCATTCTGGCCATGCTGGACGCCTCTGACCTGGCCTCTCCCTCCAGTTGCAACTTTCTGGCCACCGTCGTAGCCTCTGTGGGAGCCCAGAGCCCCAGTGACAGCAGCCAGCGCCTCCTCCTGGTGCTGAACAAGTCGGACCTGCTGTCCCCAGAGGGCCCACGTCCGCCTCCTGACCTGCCCCCGCACCTGTTGCTGTCCTGTCTGACGGGAGAGGGTCTGGACGGCCTCCTGGAGGCGCTGAGGAAGGAGCTAGCTGCAGTGTGAGCCCCCCTCCCACTCCCAGCCTCCCCTGATCCACAGCTCAAGTGTGGGCTGGCCCACTGGCTTTGGGCGCGTGCCTGTCCCTCAACTTCAATTTCTGTACCTACAAAATGGGTGCAACCATTTCCCCTTCAAGGGATAGTTGTAAAAGGTTAGGAGGGACCACGTCTCTTGTCTCTTCCAGGTGTGGGGACCCGTCCACCGGCTCCCCGCTCCTGACCCGCGCAAGGCACCAGCACCACCTCCAGGGTTGCCTGGATGCCCTCAGTCACTACAAGCCGTCAAAAGACCTGGCCCTGGCGGCAGAGGCGCTGCGGGTGGCCCGGGGTCACCTGACCCGGCTCACAGGTGGAGGGGGTACCGAGGAGATCCTGGACATCATCTTCCGGGACTTCTGCGTGGGCAAGTGACGGGATCCAGGGAAGTCGCACCCAAGTTGCGCGGAGACCCGGGAGACCCGGGGGATCTGGAAACAGTTTAGGCCAATCGGGATTCTCTTTCACCTGGGAAAGAACTTGATTCTCAAACAATGAAGCAACACAGCTGAGAGGTAGTGAGCTCCCTGCAGGGGCTCCCTGGAGATTCAGGCCCTGGAATGGGGCTGAATGGAGGTCCCGTTGGACCCTGGATGCTGGGGCATCCGTGTTGGGATGGAGACAGGAGGATCTCCGGATATTTGTTTCATGGTTTTTAATTTATTTTGCAAATACCAAAGGAATGTAAAAAAAAAAAAACTC